TGTACCTACCTGCCCTTCCCTGCCCTCCACCAGTGGACACCGTTTGAAGGCATCACTAACTCATGCTGTTTCAGTGCCTATTTTTTGATTCTGAGGTGAATTCTTTGCGTGGACCCAAACTGGGCGGTGTGATTCTGAGTTGTTGCCGACTACCCGTTGCTTGTGGATTCTGGTTTAAAGCTGCATGCTGCTTGCAGGGTTACATGGCCAATTCGAAAAGGCAATCCTGCACTAGAATGTTCTCAACCAGTCTGTTAACTGTTGGCAACAGCGCAACTTCATTCCAAACCAGGTCAGATGATGGGCAACAACTTTGGCCCACCAGGTCTTGTGGGCAATTCCATGCAGGCAAGTATGGAGTGTTCTTCTCTAAGAGAATAGCCGAGCACCAACGAGAAACATTGGCAGCTATGCTAGTCCAGACTTCTAAAGGGTGCTGTGTACTGCGACCTCATTCAAGCCAAAGACTGCTTGGGTTCACCCGATGTCAGCCAGTCTGTTGGAGTTTTGCTCAGGGCAACCAGCCATGGATGGGTTCGGAGGCGTGGACGTGAATATGTTTCTTTGCGTCGGTGAAGCCGATGCAACATCTGCACCACTTGCACCTTGCACCCGGTGACCTGCAGGAGTCGAAGCTGCTGTCGTACTTGCAGGACTTTGATTCAAATTTGGTCTGTCTTCGAAGTTGTTCACGAGCTGTGTCACACGGAACTTGCTCTTCAGCCTGCCTTCTTCCAGGCGAGGCAAGCGCAGCAATCAGCTTCTTCTTCGGGGGCCCAGTGGAAGCCCTCAGCACTGGAGTGCATTGCTCTCACACGATCCAGATAGATCTGGACGCTCTGCAATTTTCCCAGTCCTGTTTTGCTGGAGAGCTGGTTGGAAAGTCAGTGCATGTCGGTATCGTTCTGGGACTCCAAGGCCTTCACATTGGCCACCTGGCCTCAACGCCTTTCCAGATCAGGTTTCTCGGCGATCAATGGCTCAATGGCAGTGACCCAGTTGTTTGTGTGCGAGTCATGTGACCCATCTTGTGGTTGCAGTGCCGTGGTTGCAACGCGATGGTGTTGCAGGCTCCAGCATTGCCTCCACAACCAAGTGCTCAACAGGCACAGTGGCAGCAGGTGCCGGAAGCAAGCTGCAGCAATAGTTGGGCGTTCGCAGATTTGCTCAGCTGCACCATAAGCAGCACTGCGCAAACGCTCGGAGAGTTGATCCACGGAGAGCTCACTGCAGTGTTCATGCCTGTTTCAATGCAGCTGAGCCTACACCAGTCAACTCCGAGTGTTTCTATGTCTTGGATCTTTTACTTGAGACCTTGGCATCCAAGAAGCCGTTTTCTTGAATGTTCGCAAAGCCAAATTCAAAGTTTTCGTTTCCCGCCCAACTTTCACTTCATTTCTCCAACACCGCTGGCTAGAACCCAGGCAGAATCACGAGTGCAACCCCTTGAAACTTTCAATCCACATGTATTTGCACGACCACACAGCTTCACTTGGCTCGTGCATGTTGTTTGTGCTTTCAGTGCCAGGCCGCGATGCTGGGATCAGGGGGCTTGGGTGCAGGCCTGGGAAGCCAAGTCGGGCACGTCCCAAAGACCCAGGAAGAGAAATTTGGTAAGATGTTATATTCCCATTTTGTGCCTTCGTGTCTTTTATTTTGACACATGCTCTATAAAGTTCCAGGAAGAAATGATAAACATCTTCTACAGTCTTTGTGCGTGTTTGGTGTTCAAACAGGTGCTTTCCTTTGCCTTGTTGCGCATACCCACCCTCACTTCATGCTGAGGCCCTTGCGTTGGAAAAGGAGGAGGCTCCAGCCTGGACGTGCTTCACAGAAAGGGTAAATGAGAGCGCTGTCATTTGTAGGTTTGCTTTTGGATGAGCTGCTTTTGCATGGCATGATGCTTGGTCCTACACTGTCCTACATTGAACACAACAGAATGTAACATGATGTAACAACCGCTTGAAGAGTGAACCCACTTCCTTCTTCGGTTTTTCTTGGCCTCATCAGCAAGACTCACTGCGCAGGGCGGTTGCCTCCTCAGTGGCCTCAAATGGGACAAGGCAAGATCAAAGAATCCTTGCGTGAAACTAGTTGAAACTACGGTTGTCAGCAGTACTGGTAGTACTGGTAGTGACTAGTCAGTGATACTGAGGATCAAGCAATTATGCAGGTCAGTCTATAAATCCCGCTCAGCTCCCGTTCGTCAACTTCGGGGAGGACGCGTTTGGGAGCCCTTCAGCGCGTTTGCCACAGGTGTTCGGGTGTTCGTTGTTCGGTCGTTCGGCAGGACCCGATGAATTTCATGCCCCTGAACCTGTGAGCCGCATGGGCCCATAGATGCCCATGGTGCCCATTCAGTCGGGCGAAACGCCAAATGCGTGTCGTCCCCTTACTTTGCCTGCAGTCTTTTGTCAAACACGAATTGCTTTTTTCATGCTTGTCTATTTGGTAAGCGGACTTCTCGGAATTGAGATACGTTGTTGGTATAGCACATCTCAGTCGTTTATGAAGACATCACGGCATTCAAGTCTGCAGCGCACGTGCAGAAGATTAGGAAGCAAGCGCGAGTTGCTCGATGACGATAGGAATTGCTTCAGTTGCTCGCAAAATCACCCAGCCAGTTCCTTGGGCGGGTGTCTTGTTTGCAGCCTCAGCAATGTCACAACTCCGACTTGCATGCGCTTCAAGTGGAACACGATGGAACTGAAATTTATGTTTTCTGAAATAGAATCTGAACTTTTGATTCCTAGGGTCTCTTATTGGACAACAGCTAGGTGAGTGGTCGCCTCGGTGAGCTGTTCACATATTTTGAGCCCATGAAGCTTCAGTTTTCGGACGACGGGGAAATTCGAAGGCGGCTTCAAGCAATAAAGGCGACGAAGGCAAAAGACTCTTTTGATACTCTGGAAATGGATTTCTTGCTTCAAGACTTGGTTCCCAGTCAGAGTATTGCTTGCGCGAGCCATTGTTGGAGACTTTGTTTTGACTTCTTGTGATGGCATGTGGCACGTAGTGCGTCTGGGACTTGAACGTAGCTCTCCAGTTCCACTTGATTCCATGTGACGTCCTGAGATGATCCGTCCAGCCGAGTGGATCGCTTTTCGAAAACGAATAACATACAGTCATGACTCATGACTATAGTGCTGGGCCAGGACGAATGATGTGATTTATCCCACTCCAAAATACAGACCGTGCCTGTGGAGATGTGTTCAAGCAGCCAGGAATGGGACCTGTTCCAGATGGAAGATGTTGTTTGCCCATGCATGTATTATTGAATATGCACTGTATGTCGTCATTCCCCTTGAGATTTTCTTTGAACACGACCTCCAGCACAAGGTTGAGTTTTCGATTGCCCGTGCATTTTGGTGCGAAGGCAGACAGATCCTTTCCATCGTTTGTTCTTGAGGAGAGAAAAGAGTGAGACAGTTTTGAAACAGAGGCTGGTTTGTCCCAGCATGATGGGGATGGATGGCAGACAAGAAGCGCAACATTTTGACCCGCAAACTAGATGCAACATGATTCAGCTATTGCGTCTGAATATACCGTACTGTATATGATCTATGAAAAGCATATGTGCTCACAGTGTCCCAGATCGTAACGTCCTAGTGCAAGGCAAAAGGTGTGAACGATTGTGGAACTACACCCCGCGTGCAACACCAAAACTAGAGCACGCTGAGCTCTAAGGGTTCTGACCCATCCGAAATTCAGGATGAGCACATACTGCAGATTTCTGTATTGGAAGTCAGCTCAGACACCCTCCCTCATGCTCTTCCCATTTCTGGCTGACACGTTGTGTCCTGCCTTCCCGCAGTCAGTGGCTACTGCACGCCTTCACTTTTGACTGACCAATGTGATGTTGCTGCATGAAGCTTCGGATGGCAATGCTATACTACAGCCCTACCTAATCACACACAGCTTTCACTTCACTACAAGCTGCTAAGCTCACGTCACATCACGGGCAAGTCCAGAAATGCAGCGATGGCCATGGCGCATTCAATGCGATGTTTGGTCCTTGGGAGCTTCTGAAACTGAGTGTTTTTGCTGTGAATCATGTTCTCAATTTCACGTGCCTATGTGCTGGCAATCCCAATATTATGCCAAGATGGATATGCAATCATGAAAACCATGGTTCTGGCACGCTCAATGGATGTTCTGTTTATCAAAATCCTGGCTGGGACAGCAACTGCGATTTGGAATGTCGAAGAAGAATTAGGCACTGCAGAAGCTCCTTGAAAAGTGGGGAGGATATTTTCAGCTTGTTTAGTATGGGCGATGCCACTGAAAGGATGCTTCTCACCAATCATCGAGTTCTTGGTGTGTTCCACTCTCAGCGAGAGTCCCATGCCTGGCCCCTCCACCACGCAGGATCGAGCTCTTTCGGCATGGAATTGAAATCGCCAAGTCGATGCCTGAAGAAGAAACGCCCGAGAAAGGTGAGTTCTGAATGTTGAAACCACGGAGCGATAAGCTTTGCATGACTTCGGAGTTTGACCTTTTTCCACTAAGGCATCATCTCAAAGGCGTTTATTGGGTGGTGCCAGGCAAGTCTAGTGTGGAAGCCCAGAGACAACCGGGCTCGTGTGGAGCATGCTTTGCAACTTGAGCGTTTTCAGTGCTAGGATGTCACCGAATTGCAGTGCCCCAAACGCATATTTCCCCTCAAGCAACGACTTTTTGTGATGTGCCAATTGCTTCCACGACCACCGCAACACCGGACTTTTTTGCTCCGATGTTGACACGATATGACAGTTCATGGCAGACCTGCTTGAATATCCCTTCCCAGCAAGAGGGAGGAGCCGAAGACAACAACAAATGTGATGATTGAAGGCATGGCAGCACGTCCCAATGTTGTTTAATCTCATCAACATTTGCCCAAAGGAGCACCGGCACAGTCAACAGATGTTAATCATGCGAAGACTCCAAGAAAAACAAACATCGCTGGCTGGCTTTGAAGGGAAACAAGTAAAAGTACCAAAGTACTCCACAAGTCTCCACAAGACGTTCCTCCACAAGTCTGGCGATGGCCGTCTTCGCGGATGGAGCATTGTTTTGGCTCTACAGTGTGGTTGTCTTCTCTCAGTTCAAACCCTCAGAGCCATTTCTGGTGGATTTTTTGGTAGATGTAATTTGCACTGCTGGCCAACACCTTTTTGATCCTTTCTTTGCGGTACGTTTGTTTTTGTTTGTGAGCCACGTTTGGTTGGAATTGAAAAATAGTCTTTGAATGCTTGCAATCATCTTGATCAACTGCCACAGCTGTGCAGGTGAAAGGATTTACCAACCATGCTGTCTATCAGGGCATGTTTCCGCTCTTCACCTATGCTCGAAATCCAACCTATGCTGAAGGAGGTAATTTTTTGCAGTTGTTTCCACCTAGTAGGGAATCCTCGAGCAATGTATTCCACTAATATTTCACGAACTGATCTTTGACAGCCTGCAGCAGCTGAAGGATTTCCCTTGCTTTTTGTGACTGGTGTTTTGTCAGAGCTTGACATGGCAGGGCAAGGGGTGCTTTTCTTGGGTGCTCTTTGTGGCTTTGCAACTGTACTGCTAACATGGTTTGGCACTAGCTTGCTACCTCAGCAGATTGCGCAAATAACAGTGGCTGCAAACTTCGCGTCCCGATTTGCTGTCAACGCTGTGGTGTTTCAATTGGCCCCTTCTGATACCGTCCAGCAGCATATTCATACCATGAAAGCAGCCCTTCTTTTGTCCAATGCTGGATCTGCCATATTGGGCGAGATTCTGCGCGACCAGATGAAAGCTTCCTTCTGGGTGCTCTACTTGATGTCAGCAATAGCAACGGGTCTTGCATTCTTGTGCTCGATATTCCTTCTGAACTCGAAGCTGCAAACTTCTGCACCGAGAAGAAGCACTCACCCGGCATCGGATGCCTTCTTTGATTTGGTGAAGATATTCAAGTTGCCGGTGGTGGCATGGTGTACAGTTTGGGCCATGTCGGTAAATCCAGCACACGGTGTTGCACTCACGTACTGGCAGAACTTGCTAAAAGATAACTTCGACGTCAAGGACTACAATGGCTACATGTTGGGTGCAAGCTATTTGGCTGCTGCAGGAGTTGTAGCAGTTTCTCGCAGATCCGTTCTTTTGAGGACTTCAACTGCGGCTCTTGTAATTCTATCACTCCTGGCAATGGGTCTAACACTGATGGGCTTGCCCCTTTGCCACAACGAGTTCGTCTTCTACATTATGCTGGTGGCCACCCAGTGCATATTTGAACTGAGCACAACTGTCTTCAGCTTCCAAGTGGGTAATGAGGTGTGCAAGGCCGTGACTGATCAGGATGGGCCCAAGGAGACACGCTTGGCTTTGCTATTTTGTCTTACTGGAGTCATTTCAGGTGCAGTAGCTTCATTGGTGCAGCATGTGCATCCTATTGCCGAGCGCTTTACCTTTGTTGCCATTGCATTGCTTGTTTTGGCTGGAGTTCTGTCAACTCCCACAGATTCAGAATATGTTTTGCACCTGTTTCCTCCCAAAAAGAAACAAATCAAAACACAATAAACCTTCAAACTCGTGTTTCATCGGTTGAATGAACTTCGGTCCGAAGGTCAGCATTCAGCTGCGTCAGACACCTCTACTGCCACTTTTTGCCTCGTGTTCACCGACCCGCTCATGATCCCTTTTTGGTTCCCGCGACCGATATGATGCCAGTGACCAGACGAGGCTGAAATGACGCAAGTTCGGTGGGCCGAACGAATGGTCGGAACGAATTCGACGTGCCAAACGAGATGTTTTTTTTTGAAGAGGAATCCACCCAGCCGTAGAACATTAATCAGGGTACTCTACTGAGATGTTTATTAGTCTTCTTTTGAATTGTGTAATTTTCCTAAAGTTGGGGGAATATTTAGGGGGGTACTGCTCTAGGCCAGCCAGGAATTAATTGACATGAATTAATCTGTGTCCTTCCTAATTTTCTGCGGGGGAGTTGATTCATTTTCCATAAGTTTTTGAGCAAATAAAACATGGGGTGAGAAACATGTCTACCACCCATTGATTAAATATGCGTAGAACATCTCAGAGGGAACCTAGATTAACATTCCCCTTAACATTTCCCCTATAGAATGTTTGAAGAGGCTAGCATGTGAAGCTCGTGGAGAAAACGTTGCCGGGCAAGACTTAATTAATTACCAGGACATTCAACCACAACCAAAAGGTAGCCAAACAAATCCGGGGAGAAGAGCTGAACAACAATTTAGTGAGATGATTGTGTCCTTCATGGAATGTACATGATATACATAGTCGTGCAAGGTGCAGCTTACAAGTCAATTGCATAGATACCAATTGCTTCTCCTTGTACATATGTGCATGTGGCGTTGGGCTTTTGGGCTTTCAGCTCCTGGCTTCCGTGGTTTGTGACATGTCTTTGGTTCAACGGAACGTTTGTTTTCACTCAACTACCAAGCCCTTGCAGAAAGAGCAAGGTAGACCTATTCGAAGCAAGCGACTTTGGATCAAGTGACTTCCAAAAATAGAAAACCCAATGGAAGCCCCAAGTACCGCCAAACAGCAACTTAAACCAGGACGCCTAAGTGACGCCATCAGCGTCCAGAACTCAACTCCTGTTCCCTTCGGATGGTTCAAGTTTACCCCCCCAAACTACGCCAAGATACCGCATAAACCCAAAGTAAACCAAGAGCACTAGAAGCTGATCCGATTGGACATGCTTCTAACTTTCTAGCTTCAGGGAACAACTGGGCAAAATACCCCAAAGTTGCCAGAGAGCAGGAACACAATATGAAATGATGAACCTGACCCAGATATCTATCGTTGTTCAGTTTGTGAGCTTGGTGAACCCTCCGTTTGAATCATACCCACATCAATTGCAATTGTGATAGGATGTTTTGAAATCTAGCTCAGATGATGAGATGGTCGAGAAGAGTTAAGTTGGAAGAAGCAACATTCTCCTCAGGTCTTGTTACGTTGTGCAGTATCACCAAGACGACTTTTCTTGTAGGATTCTAGGGTTCAAGTTTCCTAGAGCCACCCAACTTCAGGAAATGCGGACAGTCAGAAGGCGTGGAGACGAGGGAAAGTCTCGACTTGGAAGTCTAGCATTGCCGCGACAGTCATGGATATTGTGGCTACTTCCTGAAATTTGAGGAAGGGTGGGTTCAAGGATTTAGATGCAAAGCCAGAAGAACCGGTTCAAAGAATCAACAACTCTAGATTTCTTGTGGTGGAGGAAAGCTGACGTGTTTATCTATCACGGGTAACACAGAGGTCAGGAAGTATGATGGGCTTGTCCAAAATGAACCCCACAAGTGACCGAACATGGCCGTAAGTGAGCAATGGCCCCAAAGATCGGGCCAACCTTTCGGAGAATTGGGATTGGGGGATTGGAGTCATGAAGGTCAGAAACCAGCCATGGAATACCATCAATGGCTGTCACCTGGCTGTCCAAGTAGAAACCAGACATTAAGGCATGGCAATCCAACTGTCCAACTATTACTGGACTATCCAAGAAATCACCCCATTAACCATCCCAATTACTGAAACTACTTGTAGATGAAGAAACCCTTGGATGGTTTTGATTGTGGGGGTGGCACACGGTTTTCAATTGAAGAGAAGGACAGTGGGGCCAACACCATTTTGATCAATTTGGCAGAGTGCAAGTTTCAAGTCGAAACCACTGGGCCAGTTGTTTATTTCTATGATACTTTTTCTAAGTCAGGGTTGAAACTAAGTCACTAAGTGAAACACTTGTCGGAGGTATTGTTTGCTAGCTCCATGAGCAGTTTGGCCTGCTAGCTGAATTGACATTATACAGAAACAACTCGGACACATATTATGACTCACATGCATTGTTCCGCAGCAAATCGTGATCAGACAACACTCTCTATTTTATGGTGGTGGGTGTTTGGATTTGTAAGATTGCTTTCGAGGAGAAGAAGATGAAGGAGAGGTTGCTTGAGCAGGCAGGAAAGGCCAAAAGCCAGCGAACTGACAAAGTCCTCGACTGCAGAGTCTATCACAATGAGAAGTTGCATTTCTCACCGCAGTTTGTCTGCACCTCGATCAGCGGAACAGCAGAAGATGAGGCAGGATGAAGCTGCCTGGAATGGATGACACCTTTGGGTTGTTGCATAGCGCTATATACAGGGTTTTCAGAGTTCAGTAAACCTGTATCTATTCCTTGTGACTCAATTCGTCTTGAGCCTTGACATTCAAGTTGCTTGATGATCTTGAGTGGCTTGTGGCCCAGCCCACCTGCAAGATAATGATGTCATTCTAGAGAGTTATGAGTCAGCTGCTTTGCCGATATAGGACTGGGCTGATGAGGCTTGGAAGCGGCAGACTCATGAGCAAGTTGTAATGCCCTTTCTTGATGGCTTGTGTCCTATGGCCTCCTTGGAAGGGTGAATGTGAGCAACTCGGGGTTCAGATACTTGACCATTCTTTGTCAAGTCCCAAGTTTCTCGTATAGACGCAAGACATCTCAAGAGTAACATGTTTGTCTGATTTTGCTAATTGCTCTTCAATTGTGTTGGCCTCTCCGAAGCATCTGGAAAAGAAAAGGATAAATACTTTCTTCATAGCTACTAGTAGCTCCTGGCACTACTACTAGGAACAAGAAGCTACTAGGAGCAAAAGGGCATCGCTACGAACGGAGCAAGGACGCTACTAGTAGCTCCTCTGCACACATTCAACGACTCTCCAAGACTCTTTCGACGGGAACAGGATGGACATGGACGTCAGACTGGACATCACTTCCGGGTTTCTCAACTAAGATTCACAGGTGGCACTAAGGACTAACGACTAAGTTGTTAGTTTTTGGTGTGGCAGGATTCTGAAGGATTTCTTTCGTAGAATCCTGCCAAGGGTTGTGCATTCTTGCAGGCTGCTTCCAGCCTGACAATGCACTTTCTCAAAGGCCTGCATAGTCCAGCTGGTTGAATGGGAGGTAGTGCAATCAATGCGACGGATTTATGAATAGCCAGAGCAAGTCTGTCTTGGTCTCAAGATGTCTCGAGTCTAGAACACCAATTAGGCTTTGAGCCGGAGTCTTGGTTCGAATAATTGCTTGAGGTTTGGACTTCCTCCAGTCCTAAGTTCCAAGAGCTGGCACAGCACGCAGGTCCTCTTGTTCTCTCCTACAACGGGCAGCACACCACGTTGCGCTTCTGGGATCCTTCCCTTTGTTGGCAAACTCAGAGCGGCTTTGAATGGGGCTCTGAAGGGTGAGCGGTTTAGTGCGTGTTGTCAACTTTCCTCAAGCTTTCCTCAAGGGCAAGAAGCTACTATATAGGAGCAAAGGACGCTACTAGTGGCTCCTGGCCTTACTACTAGGAAGAAGGACGCTACTAGGAACAAAGGGCATCGCTACTAGGAGCAAGGACGCTACTAGGAACGTGTGAAACTTATTGCAACAGTTCCCAAACAGTGGTGCAACGAAAGTGTTGTTGTTGTAAAGGGTTAGCTCACGGCCCCCTGGTTGATTGCCAGGCCGCCAACACTTTTGCTCCGAAACTCGCATGTCGAAAGAGGTTTGTTTCGCACCACCATCTCTACCTTCAGAGCCACTATCCCCACCCTCCATACTGTTCTCTTGGCAAGGTAACTTTCATTAATGCAGATAATGAAGAGGACTGGGCAAATTGAGCAAGTGTGTACTTCAAAGAAGTGGGTTTGGGCAGTGGAAACTCGATAAGGCCCATTGTCGGCTGCTCTACATAATCGCCTGATCCATTTTCCAACGAGGCAGTGGCATGGACATGCACAACCTTTGATAAAGGAATGTGAGAGTGTCTGTTGTGTAGAAGGTGAGAAGATAGGATTTCATTCCTTACCTGTATATCTGTATATAGTGTTCAAGTTGCAACTCAATTAGCAAATTTGTGCAGAAATGCCTGCCTGTGAGGCCAAGTACCAATGTGTTCGCAACAGACTTGTCGCTGGAAAGCTTAAGCCACATCTCTGACCGCAGGGGGAGGGATGCTTTGAGGTATTGTCGCTGAGCGCTGATTTTACACCATATATATATATATTCAGAAAAGGTGTCCAAAGGGCAGACAAAAGAGCACTGAAATGTCTCCGCCTGCACACATGTAGTTTGTATGTGTTTGGGTTTATGTTGAGCTCAAGCACTGAGGGACTTCATCTAGCAGTAGTGCTGAAAAATAGAAATAGAAATAGAACAGAACGGCAGCTCCTGGGAGTGCAGTTTTTCAGGTTCTTTTCATTAGCAATAGGCCTAGATTTTACTATAAAAACTGCACTCCCATATGCATGATCATTTGGGTCACCTGAACCTGGTAGCAGACAAGGCAATATTTGCAGACTCTTGGAACGAGGGATGCCAAAAACCTTCAAAAAGAAACACAGAAACCAAAAACAAAAACAACAACACTATTCCCAGACTCTTTGAAAGGGGGGGTCCCAGCCAAGACTCTCTTTTTGTTTTTTTGGTGTTTGTCCACAGGGTCCAAATTTTCCATAGAGTGCTCTCCTGGTAGTGCAGCTTTCTTGACAAATGTTAAGTTTCCTCGCAAATGTGTGTTCTTTTGAGTCAACATTTCTCAAGAAAACTGCACTGCCAGGAGGGCACCCTGTTAAGATTTGTCAAGACAACTACACTGCGAGGAGGGCACTCTGTTAACCTTTGTTAAGACAACTACATTGCCAGAAGTGCACTCTGCAGAAGATTCTGCACTTTGTGAGCACTTCTTGAAGAAAACACGCTAAAACACACCAAAAAAACGTGTTTTCAGAAGTTTGTCCTCTGTGGGAGGGTTCAGTCAAGACTCTCATAAATATGCATTTGTGTGTTTCCTCAAGGTGTTTTTGGTTTTGTCCCATGGGGTCTGTA